TTTAATATTTGTATTCCATTTAAAGGGAAAATTGATTTCCTTAAGAGACTATAGCGATAAGTATTATATATATATATATTGTAGATAGTTGTTTGACTGTATGTCTAATTCAAAATTCAATTTCGTCTTCATAGGGAGAGAATTTCATACTAACACTCAAACACAAAGATAGTTAGCGAAACAGGATACGCTGCTGAGCTGTTTAACAGTTATCGTATAATGGACCTCGAGCATTCTGCAACTCTACTTTTCTCTATCTCATTTATCAGTACTTCCTTTATTGAGAAAATAGCATGCCGAATTTCCAAAACTAAGTTTTGCATTTATCGTATAATTTCCCACATTTCCGTTATATATACACACACACATACACCTATACCCAAAAAACAATTATAGACAAAAGACGAGAACAATGAAGACAATGAACTGTAATTTTAATCAAGGAAATAGGTTCTTCCACTTTGTTGGAAAATAAAACAATATACAATTTTTTTTTTGTTTTTTTTTTGATAAAAAGAAAAAAAAGTAAATATAGAAATAGAAATTATAAAAGAAAATATGAAAGTGAAAATTTATAAAAAAAATGGTTAATTAATAGGAAAAGGTAATTATTAAAGAATTTTTCTTTCGTTTCCTTGATTTTATTTCAAGGCGATTACATTCTCTTTTCTTTTTGTATGAGAAAATTTTTAGTCTCAAAACAAAATAAAATTCTATATAAATATTAAATGACTTCAATTAATGAGAAAAAATCATTTATAAATTTGTTAAAATTATAAAAATAAAAATTTACATAACTCAGTAAAAAATAAGTCATATATAAAATATTACATTTTTAAGGTTATGTTTGTGTTTTAACTCTGAGTTTTGACCTAATTTTAAGGTTATTTTTACTAATTTTAACTTTTTTATAAGAACTTTTTACCTTGAGTTTTAACATTATGTTCGCTCTTTTGACCAAGAAATTGACCTGATTTCGAGGTTATGTTTGCTGATTTTAAGTTCAAATCCAGCCTCCTCTTAATTTGTTATAGTATTATGACGATTATAGTCGCTTGACTTATAACATATCAATATTCAAGGCCAAAATAGTAAAAAACCTGAAAATATAACCTCAAAATTAGGTGATAAGTCAAGATGCAAACATAACTTCATAATTCAAGGTCAAATGTTAAGGTCAACAGGACGCTGGGTATAAGATTAAAATCGGCAAACATAACCTTAAAAATTAGGTCAATTTCTGGTTTTAGAAATCGAACGTTATTATTGTAGGTCAAATGTTGAAGACATAGATCAAAAAGATATTGGGTTTGGGGTTAAAATCAGCTAACATAAACTCAAAATTAGATTCATTTCTAGGTCAAAAAGTCGTTAAATTTGAGATTAAAATCGTGCTTAAAGAACAAACAGATCTAAAAACATAAATTCTTGAAACAGCGTCGACGGTGAAATGTTTTTTTTTTTTTTTCTTTTTTTTTGTAATATAGAGTGATATAAGGTTGATTCACAAAAGAATTGTTGACGACAAATGGAATAGATATTCTCTCGATTGACTACATTTTAGCAATTTTTGTTTATTGTTTTCAATTTTCTTCTTTTTTTTTTTTACTATTTCCCATTTCCTTCATTTCAACTCACTTTTGAAATTGGAAAAAAAAGAAATAAAAATAAAATTTCAAAAAAAGGAAATCTGAACAATTGGCCATTTTTTTGAGAATCGCAGGAATTTCTGAATAAATTGAACAGGCAAGGTGCGACTGCCGCGAGTGGTTGTTTATTTTGGAAATTAAATTGAATTGCCCCATAACTTGCCGGTCTATTAGCCTTGGGGACGCGCGGCTAGTTTGCTCATAAATCTCCGGAGTATCGGAAGGGGTTAGAGCAGGGGAGGGCGTTGGCGGTGGTGGTAGTAGTAGTAGCAGCAGCAGCGGTGGTCCTAGAGAGAGAGAGAGTGAGGGTGGAGGGCTTCGATTCGGTCGACAATGCGTCCGGAAGCTCCCAGGAAATACATGGGCGTGGTACCGAGATAAATGTACTCTAACATTTGCATACTTACCTCTCGGGTTCAAAAGCTTGAAATCCTTCAATCCCTCTCGCCCTCTCTTCTCACCACTTCAACCTAGAAACCATTTCCAACCTGTCGTCAACCCCTATACCAACCACATTATCCGCATCCTTCTGTCATCAGTTATAGGTCACATCAATCGACCTATGACTTATCACATTAGACTTTTAATTTTCCCTATTGAAAATCTGGGCTCAAATTGATCTAGTTTTCTGGATCCTTTTATTGATACAAAAAAAAAATTCTTTTTGCAACCCACTTGAAAAGATTCCCCGGAAAGTGCCACCTGGAGGTTCTACACGGAAAGAAAGTTTGTAGCAATATTTGATATTATGGTGTTACTTTTTAGTATATTTGGTTACAATTGCGGAACATTTTGGCATGATAACGATTTTCGATACTATTTTTAAGAATGATTGAGATTAAAATAAGAATATTTAATATAGTTGGAATGAAAATTTGATATAATATTTACGAAATCTGAAATCTTTTTATTGAAACACAAAAATGTCAAATTTTAATAAGCTCTTTATCAATTTTTCTAACCAAATATTTCAAATTTCGCAATTAGAATTGCATAAAATGATATAATTATTTTAGATTTTGATATATTTGATATGAAAATTGAAAAAGAAATATCAAAGTTAACGAGATTCGACGAAATTTGCCGAAGTTGAACGTTCGGAATTGCCCGATCCTCACCGAGTGGTAACGAAGACTGACGAAGCTCTTTAGACAAGCCCCTTTTTACTATTATCTTGATACAGGACCTGAATTTCTTTTATATAATTAATTTCGAAGATTTTACAATAAATCAGTAAAAAAAATTGTTCTTCAAAAAATAATAAAATATTTAATTATTTCCCAATAAATAATGATTTTTATTTATATTTTTAAACATGTTTTAATATAATTTCACCTTTCTCATAAGCGGTGAAAAATATGTCTGGTTAGTATATAAGAATGGTCACATCAGTTTTTCACATGAGCGTAAATTTGTATATGAAGCGTTATTCTGCGAATGTTATACGTATTATCGTTAGTATAGGTTAGGAATAAAAATAAGCCAATCGATGTAAAACAATGCGGTGTATGTGTGTGTGTGTGCATTTAAAAGTTCATATCCTCGTCTATCCTCGAGATGAGAAAGAGATAAAACTTTGGCGTAGAATCTGTTGGTGTTTCTGTCGTCATCTGTCACGACTGAACCACTTCGAATTTTTAGTATAGTTTTAACAAATTTCGAAATAATCTTTCCAAATTTTCATATAAATTTAGTAAATAACGAAGTGCGCGTCGATTTAACTTACTTCTGGTTTTTCGTATAAATTTATCAATTTACGAAATAATAATTTCAATTTCTGGAATATATTTACTAAAAAGACTATTGGTAAAAATATACCGATTTTCGTTATCAAACCCAAATGTTCCGCGTTTGAAAAAGAGAATACTAAAATTTCCTATCAGATTTATCAAATATTGCTACTCAATTTCTTTCCGTGTATCAGAATTCCGCCGGAACTTCCAACGTAATTCCGTTGGAGTTCCAAAGAATTTCCGATGGGATTTCGACGGAATTCCGATTAATTTTTTTCAAACATTTTAGAGTCTTAATTCCGTCGGAATCCCATCGGAAATTCTTTGGAACTCCGATGGAATTCCGACGGAATTACGTTGGAAGTTCCGGCGGAATTCTGATAGAACCTCCAGGGAGCACTTTCCGGGACATCCACTTTTCGTTCTCCATTTTTCACTTTCCACTCTCTACATTCCGTATTCCACATTCCGGATTCCAATTTTTACTTTCCGCGTTCCACATTCTAGTTTTCAATTTCGACGTTTCACTTTTCAAATTGTACATTCCATATTCCACTTTCCTCATTCCGGATTCCACTTTTCACATTCCAATTTTTATTCTCCGCATTACGGATTTTATTCTTCACTTCCATTTTTATTTTCCTTTCTTTTTACATTTTCTAATTTCCAAATTATACTTTTCACTTTCCGGATTCATAATTGAAAATGTTGTATTTCACATTTTATTTTTCACAATGCAAATTTTCCTCCCTGAAGTTGGCAAAAATATTTTTGGTCCCATGAAAAACAATTTTTTGACGCCAACTTCATGGAGGTGCAGATTTCTCTTTTTATTTTTTAATATATTTAATTTTTAAAAAAATGTTACATAAACCTTTTTAATTAGATGGCAATAAATGATATTTTGTATAAATAGTAGTTTTCTTGTTATTTTCATTATTTTCAGTGATTATTTTTATTTTCTAATCTACAACATAATTAATATTAGTATTTTAAATTTGTATATTATTAGGTTAAAACAAAAATTTTTCATAACCTCTAAATTTATAATTTACAAAAATCATTTTTTGTAAGTTAATGGAAGTCACTTTTTTCGCATGAGAATAGTATCTGGAATGTGAAATGCAGAATCTTGAATGTGGAAAGTGGAATTCGGAATACGGAATGTAAAATACGAAAATTGGAATCCGGAATGTAGAAAGTAGAATTTGAAAAGTGAAACGTGGAATATAGAAAATGAAATGTTGAATGCGGAAGGTAAAAATTGGAATCCGGAATGTGGAATATGGAACGTGGAATGCAGAATGTAAAATGCGGAATGTGGAAATTCGAATCCAGAATGTAGAATGTGGAATCCGGAAAGTTTTTTAAGTAATTTTATCATTCTGTTGTGTTTAAAAAAAAATAACAGGTAAAATTTTTATATTTTTCACATGTATTTTATTTTTAATTTATTTTTCATTGTCATTAACATTTTTTACTATCTTAATTTTAATTAATAGAATTGCACTGATTCAAATTAAGAGAGTAATTATATATACATATAAATATTAAAATATTATACAAAACAACAAAAATTTTACAACATTTTTTAAAAATTATACATAGATAAAACAAAAAAAATATATTAAAAATATTGACTAAAACTAGGGAAAGAAAAAACTTTCTATCTTTTAAGAAAATTACAGAAAAGTTAAAAAAAAAAGAAAAGTCTCCTTTAAAGCATTTAACTCCTTGGAATAAAGATTTGTCTCTTTCTTCCTTCCTTCTTTTGACAAAAGTTAGGTGAAAAAGCCCAGTTAACTTTTCTTTCAAGAAGGAAATATTTTCTTTTCAAAGTCCAAATGTCCGAGAATTTGGCTACTTTTCAAAAAATTGTAACTTCATGCGGTGAAAGCGTGCGCGCGTTTGAGGTAAAAAAAAAAAAAAAAAAAAGTTCATGAAACTCAATTTTCTTTATATATTATTTTTCTTGTCGAATGTGACTTTTTCATTCGTGAAACTTTCACATTTTTTAAAATTAGATTATTGTCAGAAGGATGTTTTAAAGTTTGAGAAGGTCAACAACAACAAACAAAAAAAAGAAAAAAAAGAAAACCGAAAAAAAATAAATAAAGGCGGAAAGCTTCGGATTAAAATGATTTACTCGAGAAGAACAGTGCAACTGAGTTGTGTGTGTGTGTGTGAGTTTATAAAAATTTATAGATTTGTGTGTTGGAGAATGGAATGGAGCTAAACGCGACAAACTGGAGAACCGGATGTACCTGAAGACAAATGTGCAGGACTAGTCAGTACCAGAAATTCCGGTGGGACGAACACCTTTCAGGAACGACTCGACGGATTTATCGTTCTGTTTCTCCGGAACATTATTATTGGATGAACCTTCAATGCATTTCAGCTTTTCCAGCACATACACATTTTCCAACGTTGTGCAGAATTTATCGTTTGAAAATTACACAACATAGGACGAAGGCAATTATTTTTTTTTCTTCCTTTATATAATAGTTTCAAAAAAATTTGTTTATATTCTGATTCCAATCTGTTGTTATAAAATTCTTGACTCTTCTTTATTTGCGCTATCTCCAATATCATTTTTATTTTCTGCCATTGTAATTTTTGAATGATAAAACCTAAAAAAAAAGTTAAAAATAATTTTTAAAAAATTTTATTTTTTTGTCTTCATAAATTTTAAAAATTTAATTTTAGATATGTAATAAAAAAAATTTATGGAACTATAAAAATAAAATTTTTTTTGTATTTGCAAAAAGTAAACAGTATTTTGGTTGTAAACAATATTATTCTGTTTATATTATTATCTTTATGTTATTATTCATTGAAATTTGAAAGGTAAGAATTTAAAAAAAAATTCTGTTTCACATATTGTCTTTATAAATCTTTATGAATATAAAAGTATTGAATTTATAAATTTTTGCCAAGAGAAAAAAAAGTTTTATTTTTTCATCGACTTTCGAAATACAGTTAATATATATTACAAGATTCAAAAAGCAATATAGAACAATATTAAGAAATAAATTTAAAAATTCTATTGTTTTTTTTTATAAATTACCTTAGATTCTTCATTCAGTTTTTTATAGTCGATAATATGATCTAAACAACCACTATTTCTCATATCCAAAAATATTTCCATCAAAAGATCTCTAAATTTATCGCCACCAATGTCTTTAAAATGTTCCGCGGCATTTTCCATATCTGTGGAAAAATCAAAATTTGTCAATTCCACTCCATGCATAATTGGTAAATAAAAACTGGCAATCATAAAACCAAAAATTGCATATCTTTTATAGTTGTTTAAAAAATTTTCTTTTGAAAATTCTTTGGAATACATTTCTGAAAAATTAATTTCTTTAAAATAATCCATCAATGAATTGTAATAGGCATCGAAAACTTGTGTAAATTTTGTTCGTATATCATCCGGTGACATGCTTAAATAAATAAATGTCGAAAGATCAATAGCAGGTGAACCATAGGATATCATTGCAAAATCAAAAAGCATTGCTTTAACACCAAATTCACTTTCTTTGAAGAAAACATTGTTCACCGTAAAATCACCATGACAAATTGTGGCTAATGACATTTTTGAATTCAATGCAACTCGCATACAATTGTCAAAGGCATTTTCAAAAAATTTCTCAGCTCCATCACAAAACACTGTATCATAATTTTTATCACGTAAACATTTAATAATTCTTGGCATTAAATTGTTCATCATAATTGGAAAAAAATTTCTCTCTCTATATTCATATCTTGTTTCTTGAATATTATTGACTATTTGAAAAAATTCCCTTGGCAATTTATGTTTAAGTACATAGGCCTTGGCATGAAATTTACCAATTTCCTGCATTGCTGCGACAATGTATTTCATTTTTAAATTCACCTTCTCGGGACACTGATAATATCCATTTTCGTTAATATTCTCAATGACAATCGCAGAATTTATCGGTGGATCTTCATTTGTATAGAAACATTTTGGATAGTCTTTGCTATTTTTTTGATATTTTTCATAAAATAAAATTTCATTGTGAAAAAATTTATCGGCTTGAAAAACTTGTCTCATCAATTCAATTCTATGGGGTCGTTTTAGTATGAGACGAAAATTTTTTTCTTCCCTCTTATCAATTAATTTTAGTTCGAGAAATATTATACTTGACATAAGTAATGGCTCGGAACTTTTTACCTCGTATTTTGTAACACTATTTTCATGATTTAATACTACTTTTAATTTTGGTATTAAATATCCCTCTAACCATAATTTTGATTCTTTATCTATATTATCTGTATTTTTTGTCAATTTTATAAAATTATTGTTTTCATTTTTTTCAGTGAATTTCTTTATATTATTCACAGTTTCGTTAATTCTTCTTGTCATTGCCATTATGGATTTTGAAGAATATTTAAAAATTCACTTATATTGTTAACAATATAACTGTCCTGATTGGAATTTTATTTGCACTTTATTAACTGTGAATTTTGAAGAAAGAATTTGTTGAATATTATATTATTATATTATATTAACAATATTGAAAACAATATTGTTAATGATTTTAAATTGGGTAGTCAAAATGGTTTACTTCATTAGCGCGTAACTTGTATACTATTGAAAATATTTTCATTAAAAGAAGATTTGCTGCTTTAAGTGGGAGCAATGTATGAGTGGGGATTAATTTAAGTTTTCTTAACATTTTGTTTGTACATCTGATATTGTTTACCAAAAATATCGTATAACATGTATGTGTGCATGTATACACTGAGAAAACAGTCTTAACTTTAACAGAATCCTTTTATCTTAAACGGATTTTCTTATTATTAATATTTATTACCTTTTTTAATTTTTCATAATGGAATATGGTTTCAATCATTGCTAAATTTTATACCTACACTTTTTTACAGAATTAACGAATATTTGTCTACCTTTTTTCGAACCTAGAATCATATTGGAAAATTAAAGAAAAATATTTTTTGTCTGTTTTATATTTAAAAATTTTTTTTAGAAATTAATTTTTTTGAAAATTTATTCGATTTACTATTTAGAATACGATACTAAAGTACGCAACGTTTATGATCAACGATTTAAAAATCAATTTTTATTTAACACGGCAAATTATAAAATTATTTACCTAAAAAAATATTTTTTTTATAATTTATTGATTAATAAAAACTACAAAAAATATTTTTTTAGGCAAAAAATTATAGAATTTTTTATTTTAAAATATTCAGTGTTTATCATAAACGTTGCGTACTTTAGCTTCGTTTTAGAATGATAAGAAAAAGTGTAAAAAATAAAATTGTCGATGAAAAATATTGAAAATTGTAGTAGTAGTTCAAATTTCCTTTTTTTTAAAAAATTTCATGTTCTATTATAAAATTTGTTAATTAATAAATTGTTTTTTTTTCAAAATTTTCATTTTATACCATTAACAAAGTCAAAATATAAATTGACATTAAAAGAAAACTAGTATTTCCCTTTACATCAGTCTTGAATTATGTTCAAAGTTGTAAAACGTAAATAAATATGAAAAAGTGTAAATTGTTATTTCATGTTCAGTTTTACAAAAAATAAATTTAAACAAAACAGCACTATTTAATGGTATTTAAATAATTGTTTGTGTTTCTATCAAATTGAAAATAAAAATTATAAATTTAATAAAAAATTATAAATGATAATGATAAGAAAGTAAAATATATATTATTTTGACACGGACGTCGGTGCCCCTTTTAGCGCCACTAACTTTTTTTAGCCAACTACGGACCTGTTAGTCAGCTGTGAGTCGAGCGAGTTAAAAACCGTCCATGCATTGTTTTAGTAAAATATTTATAATTTAATAAACATTGAATATTTTAAAATGTTTTCTGGCTTATTTTAAAGATGAAATTTCAAGATTTTATTTTGCTTAATTTTAATTTTTTATAAACACTTGTCTAGAAAAACTGTAGCCCATTAAAATCAAATAATGTAAATTCACTAAAAATTGAAATTGCACCTTTCCTTATTACATTATATCTCCGTTTTAATTTATCAAAAAAAGCTTGAGTATAGAATTATTTTACGGCAAATTTAATAATATTTCCAAAAATAGTTAAAAAAAAATTTCTACAATTATTCTTAACGGATTATAATTTGGATTTTATTACCTTTATACCTGCATACCGAGTTGTATATTTACATTTTAAAGTACAAATTATACCTTTATGCCAAAGGTCGTAAACAATGCGGATGGAAAATACCAATGATAATTCAATCAGTTGCAATTCGTGCATTGACCTGTTTAGACGTGATTAAAGTGCGTAAATTTTGTAATATTAAAAGAAAAATTTTTCTGTCTTTTTTTTCACATTTAAAATAGCTTCGGGAGTGTTCGAATGTTTTAATTCGCGAACGAAAAAATTTTAAGTGTTAATTTTTTTTTTGTCATTTTAGTAAATTTTTTGTTTTGTGAGTGTTCGAAATTCTTAAGATCGCGATCACTTAAATCTTTAGAAATAATGTTTTGTTTTTTTATTTTAAAATCTAATTTCGGGTGTGTTGCATATTTTTTTTTTAAATCGTTTCTTGTCTCCGGAAAATTTAATCATCCAAAATATGTGATACATCGATCGCCGATTAAGGTTAGATATATATATTTTTTATAAATAATAATTACATGCAATTGTTTTATGAGCCAAAAGTTTTGAACGTTCATATGAACGAAATTTGTTTTGCTACTTCTTTAAGTATACGAATTTTATTACAAAATATTGTTTAAAATATCTAACAAGAAGTTATTAATTTGACAATTGTTTAATTTACTGTTTTATTTTACATGGTCATCATAATTTTTAATAATTTATAGATTTAAAAAAAATATTTCGTTCATTTGGACGTTTTGAACTTTCGGTTCATATTGTTTTTCTATTTAGAAGAATTAAAAAAATATTTCAATAATTTATTTTTTACAGCAAAAAATATTAGTACCAATTTAAAGCTAATGAAATTATCTTTTATAGTCGCATTTACAAGACCTAACATTCTTTTTTACTTAAAAAAAAAACTGCAAATTTTTCTAAGTTTAAAAAAAAATTTAATTTCCCTAAATTTAAAATTTTAAATTTTTAATAATGTTTAATTGTATTTAATTTAAAAAACATTTTTTTGTATCGGAGAGAAATGTTCAGTTTTTTTAAAGAAAAAATGGTTGATTTCCGCGAGTGTAGTTTGCAGTTCGATACGTAGCGAGTGCCCGAGCCGAAGGCGAGAGTTTGCGAGCGAAGACGAGAACTGCAAATACACGAGACGGAAATCATTTTCCTCTCGAGTTGCACATACTATTTTTTCTAACACACATACCGAAAGTACATAGATTAAAAATAAAAAATGTTAATTTTTCTAAAAACGGTATTTTATTATTAAATTTTAGCGAAAAATATAACTTTTATAGTAAGTCGACTACATTGAGATTAAATTATGTTATTACTAATCAACAGAATTGACAGAATGACAACAAACGTACAGAGACGCCAAGCGGAGAAAGTGTACACTATTGTTTACGTGATTATCGATTTTAAATTTGATTCGATATATCGAAATATCAACATTAAACTTAAACTCGATATTTCGAATCGATAGTTTGACAATAAATTCAATAATATACTGTTCTTGTTCTTCTTAATGTTCTATAAACAACTGAAATAAAAATTGACGTTACGGACAGGGAAAGTTACATTCCCTCCCTGCTGGTGACGTCACAGGGAGGGAAAGTACTTTTCCTCCCTGTCAGTGACGTCAGCGGGAGGGAAAGTAACTTTCCCTTCCGCTCGCCGGGAAAGACATACTTTTCTCACCCTTTACAGGTAAGAAATGGTGTACTTTCGGTGCGTGTGTTAGAAAAAATAATTTTCAATTTTGTTTCTTTATAGAAAATATTTTATCTTGAAAAAGAAATCTATTGATATATGTAATTTTAATGAAAATTTGTAGAAATAATTGCGATTTTACTCTATTCAAAAACAAGTTGAATTTTTTTCTATAAATTTGAAATATCATATTTTTTGTAAAAAAATATTTTACACTTGGATAGAAATCAAATAATCTCTATTTATTACTAGAAATTTGTATAATTAATGATAATTTTTTATTTTTTGGCTTTTGTAGTAATTTTTAATAAAAATATTTTTTCATTTAGTCCAATATTTTCCGAGGGGGAGGGGGTGAAAATTTTTGGCTTTTACGATACATCGCATGTTTTAATTTTTTTTTCTCTTAAATATTAAAATAATAAATTTTTTATAAATAACAGTTTCGAAAGTTTTTTGATGCTCTTTCGATTGGTAATACGCAGTTTTGAAAAAAAAATTTTTGGCCAAAAAAAATGAAATTGAAAAATAAATTTGACTTTTTCGGGGTGAAAGGTACGATTTCTTTTTTTTTATTGAAAGCTGAGGTTTTTTCTACAAAAATATAGAGTTGAAAGAATGTGACAAGAATGTTTAATTATGATATTGATCAATAAAAATAGAAACCAGTAAATAGTAAACAAATGTGTTCTTTCCTAGTTCATTCAGCGGTCACTAGTTCTCATTGTCGCTGCCTTCTGCAGCACTGTTACTCACGCAACGTTTGTTTACTCTCCGCCATGTTTGTTTTCATTTTCGTTCAAAAATTTCACTTTTTAAACTTCTGTTTTTAATAATTTAATTGAAAATTATACCTTCATGAAGTTGGCTCAGCGCCGAAAATTTATTTTCACAGGACCAAAAATGTCAAATTTTTTTTTTTGTAAGATTTTCGGTCAAAATAATACCTTGAGAAATACTTTTTAAGGTATTATGTGAATCCAAAACATTTTTAAAAATGATTTGATATTTTTGGTCCCGTGAAAAATAATTTTCGACGCTGAGAGTCAACGCCAACTTCATGGACGTAAAATTATGCATTTTTCGGAGAACACCAAGATTCCTTGTACCCAAATCTATCATCCCTCGTAATTTTAGACAAAAATCTTTTTTCATTGTAGAGTAAGATTTATACTACCAAAATACATTTTCCCATAATAGGTCACGTGGGAGGTTTTCACGTATTCTTAAACAATTAGAAACGAATTAAATGATTTATTGACAAACCCATGTGCGAAATATCAAGATTGCCAATACGGCCCAACGTTAGCCCAGTAATGTCTGCCGAAGTACGGCAAACGTTACTGGACCAGTACTGGCGATCAATTCGTCCCATTATTGGGCCAATATTGGCACCAATACTTGGTAATTTTTATTTGCCATAATTAGGCCGAACTCTGTCACAATACTGGGCCACTAATGGCAGACAAGATTGGCCCACTAATGGCGTCTGATACTTGGTTGTCGACGTCCAACCGCAGTTAACACCACAAGATTCGGCTCAGTATTGTCTGCCCAGACTTGATGCCCGATTTGACAATGCTGGGTCAATATTGGGTCGTTTTGGTTTTCGCATTTGGGAAGTATTTTGTAATAAAAAATAATTTGTAAAATAATTTTTTCTTTATAAGAAAGCAAAAAATGTTGTTTATATGAATATAATCACCTATAGTTTTTAATTATGTAATAAGTATTTATTGCACATATTTAAATAACAACAGTTTTTGCTGTGTCGACAGAAACGTTTGACAAGAATGTTAAATAATCGTATATTACTTATGCTATATGACGAAGCAAAAATTAATTTTAATTGCAGTGTGTCATCATTTTAAAATCATCTACAATTACAGAGTGAGAGAAAAATTGAGAAAGAAATAGAGATAATTATTTCAAGTTCTTGGCAATTTTCATAATTTCAATTTATTTCTACAAGTAAAAAACAATATTATATTCAGTTTAAATAAAAAAGAAAAATCCCTAATACTCTTCACTATAAATTTACATTCTTTAGATGAATTTAAAAAACATAAAAAAAATTGGGCAAATATTTATTTATTTCAAAATTCACACGTGTTTATTAAGGGATTGAATATTTCCCCGCCTTGGTTAAGGATTTTTAGTGTTTAAGGATGTATTTGGGATCAAAATAAAGAAGTTTAAATTTAAAAAAATTGGTTCTTGGCCTTTAAACAAAACTGAAAACGAAAAATTCGTTCGTTGATTCGTCGAATCAACGTTGGTAACTTCAGCGTCATAATACAATTTATAAAAAATTTAATTAAATTTCAAATATAAAATAAAGATACAAATTTTCAATTTTGACAAAATTCTATTTTTTTCTATATTTACATCTTATTATTTATTATAATTTACAATCTATAGCTTATTATTTAATTCTTTATTGCTCACAATATGATCTAAACAACCACTATTTCTCATATCCAAAAATATTTCCATCAAAAGATCTCTAAATTTATCGCCACCAATGTCTTTAAAATGTTCCGCGGCATTTTCCATATCTGTGGAAAAATCAAAATTTGGCAATTCCACTCCATGCATAATTGGTAAATAAAAACTGGCAATCATAAAACCAAAAATTGCATATCTTTTATAGTTGTTTAAAAAATTTTCTTTTGAAAATTCTTTGGAATGCATTTCTGAAAAATTAATTTCTTTAAAATAATCCATCAATGAATTGTAATAGGCATCAAAAACTTGTGTAAATTTTGTTCGTATATCATCTGGTGACATGCTTAAATAAATAAATGTCGAAAGATCAATAGCAGGTGAACCATAGGATATCATTGCAAAATCAAAAAGCATTGCTTTAACACCAAATTCACTTTCTTTGAAAAAAACATTGTTCACCGTAAAATCACCATGACAAAGTGTGGCTAATGACATTTTTGAATTCAATGCAACTCGCATACAATTGTCAAATGCATTTTCAAAAAATTTCTCAGCTCCATCACAAAACACTGTATCATAATTTTTATCACGTAAACACTTAATAATTCTTGGCATTAAATTGTTCATCATAATTGGAAAAAAATTTCTCTCTCTATATTCATATCTTGTTTCTTGAATATTATTGACTATTTGAAAAAATTCCCTTGGCGATTTATGTTTAAGTACATAGGCCTTGGCATGAAATTTACCAATTTCCTGCATTGCTGCGACAATGTATTTCATTTTTAAATTCACCTTCTCGGGACACTGATAATATCCATTTTCGTTAATATTCTCAATGACAATCACAGAATTTATCGGTGGATCTTCATCTGTATAGAAACATTTTGGATAGTCTTTGCTATTTTTTTGATATTTTTCATAAAATAAAATTTCATTGTGAAAAAATTTATCGGCTTGAAAAACTTGTCTCATCAATTCAATTCTATGGGGTCGTTTTAGTACGAGACGAAAATTTTTTTCTTCCCTCTTATCAATTAATTTTAATTCGAGAAATATCATACTTGACATAAGTAATGGCTCGGAACTTTTTACCTCGTATTTTGTTACACTATTTTCATGATTTAATACTACTTTTAATTTTGGTATTAAATATTCCTCTAACCATAATTTTGAGTCTTCATCTATATCATCTGTATTTTCTGTCATTTTTTTATCATTCACTATTTCGTCATCCATTGTTATTTGCAAGAGGAGGATATTTTAAATTTCACTTTTTTTATTTGGAAATATTTTTTTGTAATTTTCTATTTTATTGAATTAAGAGGGGAAAAAAAATTTTGTGAATTTTGAACTACAATTGTCGACAAATTTAGATTGTAAGTTGCCTAGTAAGAAAGATTGACTTCACTAGCGTGTAGCATGTGTTATTATTATCCGGATTCTGTGTGGTCACTGTGAATGAGACAGTCATTAAGAGAAGGTTTGATGTTCTAGTGGGAGCAGTGTATAAAGTGGGGATTAGCTCAAGGTTTCTGGTCAATTTTATGCGCACATGTGATTTTGTTGCAAAAAAAAAAAATTGCACATGAAATTATATATAAGAAATTTACTAAAAGATAAAAATGTGTTTTAAATTTTACTTATTAAATCTATACTGAAGTATTTAATTTTTATTACATTTAATTGGTTTTAATAAAAATAGATGAATCTGATAGGTAATAAAGAATAAAAAGAATCATACAGTGAAGGCTTATTTTAAATTTTTATAGCATAGTTAACTTTTGTTACAATTTAAAAATTTTTTTGCAAAATTTTAATTTTGAAATCTAATTTTAAATTCTCAAATTAAAAAAAAACTGTTCCTAAAAAAAAAATTGTAATTTTTTAGCCTTTTTAAAAATTAATTTTTTTTAAGTCAATTTCCATTACGTTGTTTTAGCATTATAAAAATAATGAATTTTAAAATTGTGAATATTAAAGTGAAAGAGATATTCACATTTTTTTGTTTCATTAAAACACTTTATCCACTCACTTTATCATTAATTACTTTCAATTTATGACATTAATATCTAATCTTTATTCTCTTCAGTCATTTCTTCGTGTGCGAGTTATATTACCACTTTGAAAATAAAAATCAAACTGAATTAAAAAAAATTTATTTATTTATTCTTTTAAAAATTTAAAGTTTTGTCTATTTTAAAAATCTACGAGAAAAAAAGTAAATTTCACTGAGCTAAATAAATATTTATTTAAAATATTTTTTAATTCTAAAAAATTTTATTTTCAAAAAAATATATTTCTGCAAACAAAATTTTTCATTTTGAAACAAATTGAATAGTTATATTTATCTCTGAAGACGAAATATAAATATTTTTATTTAATTCAAATGCATTATGTTTGGTTAGAATAAAAATTTTCCCTGGTTGGTAAATTCAATGTTTTTTTTTTTTTACAGAATTATTCTTTGAAAACCAACTGCTATTAAAAATTGATGTAGAATCTGGCAAATTTCAAGTAACGTAATATAATCTTTTTAAAATCCATTATTCAAACCTAAAAATCCATCCATTTTACTTGAAACCACACTGTTAGATTTTTCTCTAAAACATGATTCATATATATACAATCAATCTGAAATAAATTCATGTTCGTTTTTTTTATTATTAAAAAAAATAAAAATGAAAAATAAATGCTAAAAATAGAAATGGCAGACAGTATACCAATTCGCTAACTCTTTCAGTGTTTTGTTCTCCGTTTTTTTTTTCGGCAAAAAAAAAAGAACAGTAAAATATATTATTTCTGCACGAGTAAACCTTTCCTCTCTCCGGGTTTTCTCTCTTACGCGCGCGTTTATATAGTAAATTGGAATTTTCAGGATCATTTCTGCTAAGGGTTGCAAACACAATGACTAAACAAATCACACATATATATGAATTTCATCTTTTTCATGCGCGCAAATAAATAAATCAATAATTTTTATTCGTGTCAACAAAAAAAAAGAGCGATATCGTGCGTGAAAATTTATATTTTACAATTTTTACAATTTCACACATTTTCGTTAAATAATTTATGCGAATGTCATATAGATAATAAAAAATTTTTAAATGTGTCCAAAAATAAAAAAACAAATTTTGAAAAAAAATAATCTAAAAATGTAACTTCAATTTTTTTCTACGCACTTTAAATATTTTCAATATGATAAAATTTATTGAAAAAAAAATAATAATCACTGCTTTTTAAATTGAATTTATTTTTTATTAAAATTGTTTGGTTTCCATAAAGTAAATAAAAATGTGAAATTTTTGTTTCACCAAAAAAAGAAATTTTTAATTGTTTTTTCTCTCTACAATAATTAACTTTGTATAATCGATTTTGTCATAAATTTTGTGATTAAATTTTTAATAACCGCTTTTGTTTCGTTAGTCATTTATTTATTGATTAATCCCTTAAAAACGCTCCACCGATTATCACTCCTCTCTCTTTCTCTCTATGAAATTTTTTATTTTTTCAAGATTTATTTCTTCCCGCAATAAAATAATCTCTATCGTGTATTTTATGCGTATTAATAAAAAATTGCTTTTTCGAGGTAGAAGTAAATTTACAAAAAAAAAAAATGAAATAAAGAAACCAAACACTAAAAAGGAAAATATAATTTATTGTTGTTTCAATAAAAAATAATATTCATAGATTTGTCAAATGTAAATTTTCCAGTAAAAATATGTGTGTCATCGACTAGAAGGAAATCTCGTAATATTTGTTTGCATTCATATATCAGAATTTTACGAGTTTAAAAATTATTTAATAGAGAGAGAGAGAGAGAGAGAGAGAGAGAGAGAGAGAGAGAGGAGCATCTATCAAAATGCACCAAATGTAATATCCTTCGTGTATATATACTCATATAACCTGTTTAAAATTTACTGCTGTAGAAATATTTCTCAGATAACAAGAGCTACGCGAGGGTATAATGTGCATCTGTTGCAATACTAGACTATAAAATGAAAACTTACAACACGATGTATCAAGCTAATAATTTTGAATAATGTAATTTAATTTAGTTATGAGAGCAAGTGTAACACAAGTTTTTTGTGTCAATTAAAAAGTGATTTTCGAAAAAATACATTTTTTAAGTAAAATAACAAAATTGTGCAATAAAGAAAAAATCTTGGGGTCAATTACGTACACTGAAAAAAGGGTTTGGTATTGCCAGCCAAACGTTTGGTTAATATTTAAGCAACCAAAATTTTTTTGTTGAATCAACAAAATTTTAATTATCTCAATCAAAATTTGTTTGACACAACCAAAATTAGAAAAAAAGGATTTTGGTGGTCCTAACTAAAGTTTGATTGGGACAACCAAAATTTTGTTGATTTAACAAAAAAAATTTGGTTGATTAAATACCAATCAAACGTTTGGTTGTCAATACCAAACCCTTTTTTCAGTGTAACTTTTTCCGGATTTCACTTTTCACATTCCGTATTCAGGATTCCACTTTTCATATTTCAAGTTCCACATTCCGGATCCCACTTTCAAAATTTCGTATTTCCGATTCTGGATTCCACTTTCAAAATTCCGGATTCCACATTTCATATTCCGTATTCCGGATCTCACTTTTCATATTCCGGATCCCGCTTTTCACATTCCGTATTCCGGATTCCACTTTTCACAATCCGTATTCCGGATTCCACTTTTAAAATTCTGTATTCCGGATCCTATATTCCACATTCCGTATTGCACTTTGAATGTGAAATGTGGAATCCGGAATGTGGAATTCGAAATACGGAATGTGAAAAATGGAATCCGGAATACGGAATTTGAAAAGTGGAATACGGAATGTGGACTCTGAAATGTGAATCTGGAATGTGAAATACGGAATTTTGAAAGTGGAATGCGGAATGTGGAATCTGAAATACGGAATTTTAAAAGTGGAATCCGGAATTTGGAATACGGAATTATGAAAGTGGAATCCGAAATACGGAATGTGAATAGTGGGATCCGGAATGTGGAATACGGAATATAGGATCCGGAATGTGGAATACGGAATATAGGATCCGGAAAAAGTTACGTAATTCACTCCCTGTTTTTTAAAACGTCTAAAATTAACATTAAAAAAAAAACAAATCTTATATAACAATTGCACATTTGTGTACAAATTCATTTTTTGAAAAACTTAAAATTTTATGACAAAAAAATTAAAAACATTTTTAAAACATCTACAATTTAAATTTTTTAAAAAACATATCTAAGTCACAAAATTTTGTTTTTTCTGCAAAAATTAGTTTTTTTTTCTTTTTTAAAAGTAAATACCAGGCAAAAAAAACCAAAAAACATTTTTAAATAAAGAAATTTAAAATTTCAACAAAAAAAAATCAAATATTGTATCCAACTTATGTTCTTTTGTGTACTAATTTATTTTTTTTTTTTGGAAAACTCAAAATTCCGTGCAAAAAAATTAATAAACAATTTTAAAATGTTTATACAATTAAAATTTTAAAAAAAAATCAAATCTTATAACCAAATTGTTCTCTTTCGTGCAATAAATCATTTTTTCTAAAAGAAAAACTTGAAATTCCGGACAACAAAACCAAAAAACGTTTTTAAATATAAAAAATTAAAAGTTTCAAAAAAAAAAAATATTTTATACTTAATTGTTCTCGACTTGTGCAATATTTGTTGTATTTTTTTTTTAAATGTTAATTTTAGGTGTTTTATAAATGTTTTTTTGCTCGGAATATGGATTTTTTTAATAAATGAATTTACACAGAAAACATCATAATTTGGTACAAGGTTTTTTTTAAATATCATAATTTTAGGCAGTTTTAAAAATAATTTTTAATTTTTTTTTGCCCAAGAATTTTGAGTTTTTCAAAAAATGAATTTGTGCAAAAAAAAACACAAGTCTATCACAATTGAACAAAATATTTATTTTTTTGAAAATTTTAACCTTTTTTATATTTAAAACTGTTTTTTGGTTTTAAAATATTTTTTCAATTTTTTTGCCCAAAATTTTGAGTATAAAAATAAATAATGATTTTATATATAAAATTACTATTTCAACAATATTATTGTTTAAACTTTTATTTAAATAATTGCTGAACTAATGATTTAATTATTAATAATAAATTATTTAAATAAATAAAGTATGCAAATTTTGGTAAAAATTTTTTATTGGATAAATGAATTATTTGGCAAAATATAAAAATTCTAACAAAAAAATCTTGATGATTCCAATTTTTTTTTTTAGAATCTACAAATAAAAAAATACCCTGAAGATTAACGAAAATTACAAATTTTTTTTTTTTTTTGCAACTCTAGTGAAAATAAAAAAATAATATATACATATTTGTTACAGAAACAGTGTAACATGGATATAGAATTCTTGGTAGTGAGAATAAATTTTTATTTCAAAAATGTTTTCAGTTTGTGACATATCAAAAAAAGATTTGTGAGATTTTTATGTATATTTGAGAAT